ACCATCAAACCGTATCGGTGGTGTGGGTTGTAACTATAGAAGATTGAGATGGTTTCAAGACTGGGTTAATTTGTGTGGTCTCTCAAATTTGAGTTCTTTTGGTTTGAAATTTACTTGGAAAGGCCCTCGCTTGACTGGGCTTTCTTGACTTTTCAAAAAACTAGACAGAGCTTTAGTTAATATGGCCTTTCTCATGTTGATGCTTGGAAGCTCATTGAAGATACTCCTTGAGACTAATTTCTCAAATCATATTCCTTTGCTCTTTTGTCTTGGTTTCTCTTCGATAAGGAATTCTACTGATCATGCCTTTCAATTTGAAGCCATGTGGCTTGCTCATGACAATTTTCAGCCTTTTCTTAATGAGGTTTGGTCTGATTCTCTTAATTTAAATGGTAATTTGGGAAGTTTCAGGATAGCTATTCTTAACTGGAATAAAAATGTGTTTGTGTTTGTTTAAAAAAGAAAAAAAAAACTCTGCTAGCTAGACTCAGTTGGTATTCAGAACTCAGTAGCCTATCCCTCTTGCTCTTTCCCCTATAACTTGAAAGTCTCTTCAGAAAGAACCTGATGAAGTGTTGAGATTAGAGGAAATTAAATGGTTCTAGAAATCTCGTTCAGAATGGATTTCGAAGAGTGATAGGAATACTAGATACTATCATCTAAAAACCAATATGAGAAGAAGACGGAACCATATAAAGGCTCTTAAAAATGATAATGTTCAGTAGGTGGAGGATGAAGATGAGCTAAAAGCTTTGGTCGCTGATTATTTTAAATCCTTATTCAATGCTGATATAGGAGACCACCTTTTTTGCAAACTAAAAGTAACTTTCCTTTACTCAAGGATTCCCTTTCTTCCCTTAGCTTTATTCCCTCTGAGTAAGAGATTCATGATGCATTATTTGCTCTGGGACCTTGTAAGGCTCTAGGTTTTGATGGGTTCTCCCCTATCTTTTTTCAATGGAATTTGGGCAAGGGGAATAATTCCTTTTATCATTTCGTCAAAGTAGCTTTTGAAGGCAATGCGTCACTAGCTGATGCGACTAAGAGTCTAATAGCTCTAATTCCCAAAAGAGATGATCCTTAAAGGGTGGAACACTTTAGGTTGATTTCCTTGTGATCAGTCCATTATAAGTATGTTACTAAGATTTTATCTATAAGAATGAAAGGTTTAATTGATGAACTGATCTCTCCCTTCCAATCAAGCTTTATCCTAGAAGGCATATTCAAGATAACATTATTATTGTGGAGGATATCTTACATACTATGAGAAAAACAAGAGGGAGGAAAGGATATGTGGCACTCAATATTGATTTGGAGAAGGCTTATGATAGAGTTAGATAGGATTTTTTACACCAAGTTCTTCAAGATGCTGTAACAGACGAGAAGTCCGTTAATCTTATTATGCATTTCATTTCTTCAATTGCTTATAATGTCCTATGGAATAGGTCAAGAATTGAATTTTTTTTTCTTCCCTCTAGACAACTTTGGCAAGGGGACCTAACTTGTCCTTTTCTTTTTGTGATGTGCATGAAAAAACTCTCCCATATTATCACTGATGATGTAAATAATGAAAGCTGGAAACGAATCTGACTTATGAGGAATGGTCCTTTGATATCCCATCTACTTTTTGCTGATGATTTGTTACTTTTTGGAGAAGCTTCTGAAGCTCAAGCTCTGAATATAATAGTGTCCTGACACTTTCTGCAATGCCTTTAGAGCGAAGGTCAGTAAGGTTAAGTCTACGATGTTTTTCTCCCCTAGAGTTCATGTTTTTGTGCAAAGAAAATTTAGTTCTCTTACTAGAATGAAGATCACTGATGAAATTAGGAAATATCTTGGATTTCCGCTCACTCGGGGGAGATGTTCCTCTGACACTTTTCAGTACATAGTCGACAGAGTCAGAAATAAGTGGGCATCTTGGAAGTCTAATTGCCTCTCTATGGCAGAGAGAATTACCTTGGCAAAATTTGTCCTGAGTACTGTTCCTTTCTATCTTACTTGTGTGCATATGCAATGAAGTTGAGAGGTTACAGAGGAATTTCATTTGGGGTCATACCTAGGATAGTCATGGGTATCACACTATTGGACGGGAAAAGCTCACTATGTCCAAGGAGTTTGGTGGATTGGGATTCAAACATCTTACCTTAATGAATCAAGCCTTTGGAGCCAAATTAGCATGGAAACTGTTGATTGGCACTAAAGGCCTATGGTCCGAAGTTTTATTCTACAAATATATGTGCAGAAGTGATAACAAACTATTGAATTTTCAAAGTGGTGATTCTAAGCTTTGGAAATTCATTTGTTAGCAAAGTCAGTTGATTAATAATAGTTTGTGATGGCAAGTTCGGAATGGTGAATCTGTGAATTTTTTTTCAGTGATAGATGGATGTTTCCAGAGAAATTAATTAATTAAACAAATGTGTTCTAGACAATTCACTTTGGAGGGGGAAAATAGCCATGTCAGTGATTGGGTAAGGAATGGCGATTGGGATTTCACTAGACTAAGTCAAGTGGTGAATGTAGAGGTGGTATAGTGACTTATCTCTGTTATCCCACCCTTTAATGAAACAGGCAATGATGTGATGACTTGGAAGGCTAATCTTCAAGGCTAATTTACTATAAAGAGTGCCTATTCTATATTATACAGGGTCTCACCAAACCATTATAGCCTTGTTTTTAAATCTATATGGAGATGGCAAGGTGTAGAAGGCATTTGAACATTCTTGTGGATTTCTTTTCAAAATAAACTTCCTACTAATGTAGTTGGAGGAGCACCTGGTTGAATTCTTCTCCTATTTGTTCTTACTGTAATGCTAGCATAGAGGATGTCCTTCATATTTTAAGGGACAGTGACTATGCAAAAGAGATGCGGCATCAGCTGGTCAACCCCAGGTTTGCCTCTCAATTCTTTTCTTCTTCTTCAAGGGACTCGTTTAGCTTCAATTTGTCTAGAGATCTAGCTAGAGTTGATAACTCCTCAGTCAATTTGGAATGGAAGCTTCTTTGGGGAGTTGCTGTTTGGAAATTATGGACTTGGAGGAATAAGTTTTGTTTTGAGCATGATTTTCATAAACCTATTAATCTTACTACTGTCATCCTTAGTTCTTGGAATTTATTGACCCAACTGAATGCTGCAACATTGATTCAAGACCTAATACCCCTAATCTGCCATGGGGTCTTCCTCCTCAGTATTGGATGACCATGAATGTAGATGGAGGAATTTCCAAGAGGCAGAACAAAGTTGGATGTGGTGGTATTATGAGGGATTCCGCTGGGCGTTGGATTATAGGCTTCACTTACTTCATTTGGCACTATATTTTTTACGAAGCAGTGGAGTGGGCTGTCTTTCAGGGGCTTCAAATTGTTTCGGAATTTGGATGTAGGAATTTTTTTTGGGTTAAAACATAGGTATCCTCCTATTGGAGGCAATCCTATTCGAGATACTGTCGGGTACTAAATGTGGACACCTCTCCTAGCGAAGATTCGAACTTTAGTTCACCACGTTAAATTTAGAGTATGATTCTAAAAATCTAGCGGATCCGCGTAACGGGAATGGACCTCCCCCAACTTGCAGCTTGACCTTTTCGAACATATAGAAAATGATTGCGTTTGATTGGGGATTATCTATTGTTCACAATCCAAGGCAGCGAAATCATATCACTGATGCTCTGCCGAAGGAAGGTTTATCTTGCTCCTCATTGTCGGAGTCTGGTCCTTCTCATTTGAAGACCTTGTGGCACAAAGATAGTTTGGGACTCAATCCTTATCTAGTTTAGTTTATTTATTTTGGGCTCTTGCCCTCTCGTGTAACCAAAAAAAAAAAAAACTTTCCCTCTATCTCTCTTTCTCTGTGGGCACATGTGCAAATATGGGTTTATATACATTGTCATGCCTAAATTTTTTTTTGGCTCTCTGAACATATTAAATGAAAGTATTCTAGTTTATTAAGCTGTTTGGATTAATTCTTAGAAACCAGATTTTTAAAAAAAGTAGTAAAAAGTGATCGTGGACAGTATATTATGTGAAAAAGTGATATTGATAAATTAAAAATGTTTGAATGGTTGTGGTGAGAATCACCTTTTCATATCTAAACTACTAAAAAGGATATAAACCAATGTGGTATTCATGTAAAAATGATATAAATAATTGTTTTGTATTCTTAAATGATAAAATATATTTATAAATTAATATACCTATTTAAATAATATCATTAATATTTCATTTCAATGATAACCGTATTATTTTAGCATTGCTTAATAGTAATTTTTTATTCATTTTATTATGATGATTTTAAAAAGAATTTAAGAAGATCAGGTTATTTTTGACATAACGTGTCTGATATTCTTGTTATTATGCTCAAAATCATGGTTTCAAACCTTTAAGAAAAAAAAGAGGACTCCTGGGATTGCTTGGCTTTTCAAAATTATGGTTTTGATTTCTATACAAACACCTTTACTACAAAAGGTAATATTTTACATTAATTAGTAATTTCTTAATCCATATGCAAAACGTTTATAACAAAATAATTGAAATGAAGTAGGTACTTTTTTCTCCTAAAGTGTCATTCTTCTATTGACACATCGGGATGAGCTCATAAAAGACACATCTTTGATTGTGATTTTAAAGGAGCATACCAACACATGCTAATAAGTTTACGCAGCATGTGTTAGCAAAAGAGGAATTTTAGATGATCTCAAAGACATTATCCTTAAGGACAATTTTGCCCCCAATGGATGTCTCCAAAATTGAACGAACTGTTCTTTAATGCCTCGTTTGGTTCATTGGAACTGAGGATGTAAAACTGGAATTGGAAGTGGAATTAATATTTGGGATGTTTGTTTTGTGGAAGCTTATTTACACGAAACTCCCACTTCCATCAAATTTGATAGAATTGGATACCATGGAATTGAAACCAGTTCTATGGATGTGGGATTTTCTCACAATTATACCCTTGGTTTTATAATGTATTGACAAGTTTACCCCTCACATTATCACTGACTATGACGATGAGGATGATAGCGACAGCGTTCATCCTTGGCTCACCATCTTCACTGGCTTCTAAAAGTGAGGTCAATGACAGATGGCGGAGGATGCTATCTGCAGTCGATCCCACTCTCCATCTTCAATTTGCAATGGCGAAGAGTGCGTGGTATGGCAGGAGAAGCAGTAATGTCAGTCGCCTAGTCCCTCTTCTAGCTTCCGTCTCTCTTCTCCATCTTTCGGTAGCACCATTGACTTTAGATCTTTTTCTTCCCCATCTGTACTTCGATTTCAGATCTCGCTTCACGATGGGTCGATAGGTCATGATTTCTTCTATATTGTGATTTCTTTGATCTGGATCTAGTTTTCTACGATGTCATTGTTGATGGTGACCAGTGGTGGCTTCTACGGTGGCCAGCAGACGTTTTTGTGGTGCGTGATGGGGTGGCAGTGGCTATCTTGGGTGGAGGTTAGAATTTTTTGGGAAGGGTATATTTGTCATTTTATATTAATAAAAAAATTATACTCCTCCGGTCCTTATTATAAGACCCAATTTGACTTTTTATTTGGTCCTAATTATAAGACCCAATCCATTTTGTCTCTTATATTTATGCATTTTTTTCCAAGATAATCCTTCTAATAATGATAGTTTTAGCCAATATACTTAATTAGCAAGGATATTTTAGGAATAACAACACTTATTTATTATAAATAACCAACTTAACTTACTTCCTTAATCTCCTCAAATAAGTCAATTGGGTCTTATAATTAGGACCAGAGGAGTATCATACTTCCATGGCCATATCAAGCACACTTTTAAACTCACTTTCACTTCTATTAAAATATTTTCCGCGTACCAATTGAGGCATAAAAATGAGAGAAACAAAGCTATAGAAGGTAGAAAATTGTAGCCCGCAAGAGAAAGCAAACAATAGAGAAAGATTAAACGGGGACGTAAACTCATAAAAGTGTTAAAATCATTCTAGGTCCTTGTACTTTTAATAAATTTTTATTTTAGTTCCTATATTTTTTTTAATTTTTTTAATCATTATAGTTTATATCATTCAAAACATTGACCCTTATTTTGATTTGTATGGGACTTGGTTCTGAGTTTAACGATTTTAATTTTGCTTATGTAGCACTAGCACTATTAATAAGTGGGGTGACATGAAATGATGACTAAGATAGACGTGGCTTATTATGTGGATGCTAACATGGATGGGTCCAGATCCTAGTTCCTATAATTTTAACAAGTTTCAGTTTTGGTTCTTTTATATATATATATATATATATATATATATATATATATATATTTGGGTTGTTTTTCGTCCCTAGCCATCTAAAATATTTTGGTTCCTGTAATTTCATAAACTCTTGAACTTAAGCTTGATGGTGTTAAAGTAGCACACAGTAGGCTAATAAAATCTATATCGCTTGTCAAAATCAAATTTTTAGGGCATGAAATCGATTTTAATGTACAAAATCAATTTTCTGAGGTCTGGTTTTTGCAAAACACAATTTTTAAAGGCAAACTTTCAGTAGACATAACTTTCTTAATTTAACTCTAAATTATGCTAATAACGTATTATCAGAAAGCTCTAAGTCTGATCTAATCTCTAATATAATAAGAGATGATCAATAAAGCTTTGTATTTCAAAATATATGATTGAAATTGTCATCAAAGGTCAGAAACGTTTTAGCTTTGACCCTCGATCAATGTTACTAGTTATTACAATATCTCAAAATATGAATACGTTTCAGGTGAACATTGTTTATAGCCATCAAAATGGACCAAGCCGATGGGTCATTCTATTTAAACCCTTTTAAGTGAAGGGCTGGGTTTGTATTTTTGGAGGTTTGAAAGAAAATTGGGCTTAAAAGGACTCACCCTGTAAGGTCCAAAAATAAAAAAACTAACCCTTTTAAGCCTACCTTTATTATTATTATTATCATTATTATTATTATTATTGATATATTTATACAATTATGAATAATTCTTTTATGGATAAGTTTGAACTATAAAAATATTTAGAAGAACTAATAGTTAAGCTAGATAATTGAAAAGAATTAGATGTCTTGAATGATGGAACAATGATTAAAATAAATTTCCAATTCTTTAAAGAATGACAGCTAATATTCTTAGCATTCCAATCACTATAATAACTAGTAAATCTTCTTTTACTATCGATTCGTATGTTTTAACAAGGTATACAAATTTCTTTTTCTAACAAATGTTTAGACTCTCATTTGTACTCGTAACTGCTGTATAGTTTTACTTTAGATAAGAGTGATGAAGACAAAAACCTTAATATTTTTATCACTGAAGAATAGCTCACTTGTAATAAGGAACAATCAAATATTATTGATCTTGATGATAACGATGAAAATGAAGATTAAGATAATAAGTATGTTGATGTTATTAATCTTTAGCTACTAGTTTTTATCTTTCCGCTTTCTCTGTTTCATTTGGTTTTGGTTTTGTTGAGTTTGGATAATAGTCTATTGATGTTTGATGTTTTTTTGAATAAAATTTTTTAGAAGTTATAATATTTTGTTTTTTTAAATAATTAAAAAGAATTTAAATCTTAAAAAATAACATAAAAGGGCCAATCCTTTTAGGCCATGAGCCCGCATATCCAAGGGCCATGCTTCAATAATTAGATAATTTTAAAGCATGTGAGCTTTCAAAGGCTGATCCTTTTAGACCCTAACCCTTCAAGAGTTAACCATTTAGAGCTGGGCCAGCCCTTATTGAAAACTCCAACATTGTTTCATCCTTTGAAAATAGACTTATTAAGCTTTTCAATAATATTTATCTCAACAATATTTTTCATATGAAATAAACATGATTTTTGAAATATGGTGAGAAAAATGTCTTTGAAATTTTATCACAATTTTGATCATGCCTTATAAAATAACATTTCTTGAATGGCTTTGTTTGGAACGGGAGTAATAAAGATTTTCAATAATAGGTTATTTACCTAATTTACATTTAAATTGAGAAACTTATATCTGTTGAAAATTTATTATAAAAAAATATCGTGTTTTACAAAAGTTGTGTAACAATGTTTCTCTTAATCCTAATTACTTACCCTTTGGACCAAAAAAAAAAAAATCCTAATTACTTACCCAAGAAGTTAGTATAGAGGCTACCATAGTAAAAAGAGTTTTAATTCAACTTTAAAAGGTAAAATAGAGTTCAACTAATTATTTGAAATGCTTCTAAGATTATAAAAAGAGCCTTTACTAACTCAATAAGATAACCATGATGGAAATGGACGAAACTTAACTAACTTCAAAATGTGATTATAGAGGGAATGACTTCAATTATTTATCATTTGGATCTGGACGAAGAATTTGTGCAGGAATAGCTCTGGCTGAGAGGAACCTTTTGTATTTGATGGCAACGTTAATCCATTTGTTTGATTGGAGGGTACCCGAAGACCAAAAGTTAGATGTGTCTGAGAAGTTTGGTATTCTCCTCAAGAAGAAAACACCTATGGTTGTCATCCCCACACCACGCTTATCCAACTCAGTCCTTTATGTGTAGAATACATAAATGTAGGATTGGATCCAGTTAAAAAGACAAGTATTTCACAACATAATGAACCATCAAACCTCGAGCTAGCCCATCCCCCCAACCCAAAATCCTACTGGAGAAGTGCTCGTATAGGTATCGACCATGTCTTGAACAAATTGTGTCCAATAAATAAAACTTGTAAGCAATAAAAGAACATATTCCTCTTGTTCTTACTATAGGACCTAATTGTAAAGTTAATTTTAATCCTAAATATAAGACTTATTTCTCATATTGATCAGTTTTTCTTAAATTAACCATAATCAAATAGAAGAGGGAGAGAGGATATTAAGGGAGTCATATTTCTTATAATTAACTAACTTATATAACTTTCTTAATCTAATCAAATTAGTTAAATAGACCTTATATTAAGGACATGAGGAGTATATATGTATCTATGCATGCGTGATTATACAGTGATTTAGGGATTCAACTGAATCGAAACGAGCATAGTTGTCTCTCACAAGTCAATAAAACACAATTAGTATTGCTTAATTATGCATGTGATTCTCCATGAAATGAAATGTGTAGTACTATGTGGTATGAAATATGTGTTCTCCATTATTTTAATGTAGTTCGACTTATTTTGTGGTGCTTAAAAAAAAAAATATATATATATATATATTTTGTGGTTTTTGCTTTTGGACAAAATCTCCGGCGTGTTGTTTGGGGGAAACCTCGTGATAGCAACAATCAGGCAAGGGGTTGGTGGTTAATCGATGTTCGATTGTGTGGCAGGCCTCATGCTTCGATATTTTAGTTGGGGAAAAAAATTGTTGGTTCCAAACAAAAGAAATTACCGCAGTAAGATTTCATGAAATCATTAAATAAATTTGAACTCTCCGTGATTAAATTTAAATGTACAATCACCAATTTAACACTTATTCATTGAGAAGAAGAAACCGCCAACATTAGTTGTTAATACATTTCACATATTTATTAATATAACTAATGTACTCCACTGATTCAAAATATAAGATGAATTTTGTTGCAGAGACTTTTTTTTTCTTACAAGATAACATTTAATTTTATCTAATTAACATAATGAATTTTTTTCAATTTTACCCCAAACATATTTTCTTTCTTCTTTGATTCATTTATTACATTTTTTACTTATTCTTTTCATTAATAAAGACATATTTGGGAAAAGAAATACATGCTTTACATATTTGTTATTTTAAACTAATTTTTAGATAAATATAAATGGATAAATTTTATCTTATATTTTGAACTAGTGGGAGTAATTCTTAATAACAAATGTGTGGTGCAGTTGATATTATAATTTTTATATTTCTTTATCTTTTGGTTGTTGCTTTCTGTTCTTAGACTTCACAGTTGCTTAATTGGACAGGCTGGTTTTTAAAGCCTTTTTTTTTAGGCCTTTTTGTATGTTTTCATTAAGCTAGTAATAAAATTGTTTCTCATAACAAGAAAAAATCAGTCAAGTGGGGTTGAACTGCGTTTTAGGCTCTCATTTGGTAGAAACCTCTCGTGACTTGTCTGACAGACAGAACAGTTCTCAAGATCTGCGCAAATGAAATGTTTCTCTCAGGTTTATTATTTTTAAATTTAATTTTCAAAAATAAAATTATTACCAACTTCAATTATTTGCCAATGGGATTTTTATCGTTTAATGGAGAATGTTATATTGACAAAGAAGCCAAATATGAAGATAATGTTATGATAAATCAAATTAAAAACTACATTATGCTAGGAGTTAAATTGAGAAGACATTTTTACAAAAAATTCGTTTTAACGCACAAACGCATACATTAGCCGAAATGAAATTATACAAACGCTTTAATATACTACATGAATGTTGTTGTTGTTATGACTATTATTTGGAAAAAAAAAAAAAAATCAGGGCAAACCTTAAGAATTTTACCTACTTTCTTCAATCCTAAATGTAAAAACTAAGAAGTTTGCTTGGATCTTAAATATAAAATCTCAACTCACTTTGTTTTTCAGATTAATTATTTTTTTCCCAACTATCCAGTGAACATATTAAAGAAGAGTTTACATATAAGGATGGTTTCCGTTGCAATTTGCAAATGATTAGAGAGAGAGACTATTTAGAAGTACACTTGTTTTTTTTTCCCGGACAAATAGCTGAATCAATTTCCTTAATAACTCTTACGTATAAGATCAGAAGAAGTACTAAAATTGAGAGAGGAGCTGCAACTGCATAGTGTCTCGGTAAAAATAGGTAACTAGTTCCCTGGGAGGCTCAACACAACCTCTTATTCTCGCAAATGTGATGCTTAGCTAACCACTCTCGCACATATATATACATTGCCTTCTCTAAATATGAGACCAGTTTGAATTTGCCACCTAGTGGAGATAATAGACCGAACATGGCAACATCACCAAGTTGTCCAGAAACTCTTGCTAGTTGGACGGCAATTGCAATGTCGCTGTCAATAATCAGACTAGTCATCCCCGGTCTCTAACGCAAGTTATGAGAGAGCTTCACGAATCCACTAAATAGAATCCATGGCTAACCGACGCTCCTAGAATAAAACATGTTAAGACAACACCATCCTGCTGGTTTTTCCAGCAAAGAGACACTACATGTATTAGACAACACACGCCTATGAAGCAGATGGAGCAAGCAAAAACACACAAGATGGGAACCCGAAGATCATTTTCATTTGACGTCCGCAACCTCTGAGAAGGATGATACCACTTTGCCCTCTTCAGACGTCTCTGGCAAAATGAGCCTATCTGGTAAAGCATGTAATTTGTCCGTGTTTTCAAACAACTGCTTGCGGTAGATGCTGTGTAAACGGCCAAAAAGCTGCTTCTTCAGAGATTCAAAAGCTAGGTCCAGTCTCTCTAATTGTTCCATTGCATTTATATTATACATGAACAAGCCATAGTACAGATCAAAACAAGCCATATTATACATGTCATTATACTCTATTAATAACTAATAATCTAGATTTGTTCACCAAAAAGTTTCACTCAATAGCTTCCTTAAATATTCTTTTTATTTTTTCTCTACTCGATTTCTTCACCATACTTAAGATTATCTGATCAACTCTTCCCGATAACATCCCTCCATTGCCCTTCTTTTGGGAGAGTAGGTAGTGACAATGCTAATCAAATCGACGCTACCTCACAGCCTCCACAAATCCTCGTATCAAATCAACCAAAATGAAAAATTGCAATCCGTTCAACAACATGATTGAACGGATCATATGCATTATTGAATAAAGAGTACGTGGAGTGATCACATGTAGAAGATCACATAACTGATGATGATGATGATGGTAACAAGGGTGAACCAACAAAAACATTTTTCACAAGATATTTGTTATTCAGGATTATGTATGAATTGATTAAGAAATTTTAACAAATAAAATTTCCTAATAAAAGACAGCTGGAAAGGTGCATTATTGCAAGGCTCCAGTTCTACAGTTTCGCGACTAAATAAAGACGTTAATAAATTGATAATGTGCGCGTGGCCTTTTTGGGTCTTAGGTCCCAGTTAATAAAGTAATGTGCATGTGGCTTGAAAATGAATTTCTATTTGCATCTTATGAATGGAATCTCTGTACAATCAGACGAACCAATAAAAACAAAAAATGAAAAATAGAATGAGTGTGTTTCACCTTCTTGCTTCACCTACTTTGTCTAATTTTCCCCAAAGAGAAAAGTTAAAGGTGCATTTAATACCCTAAAATTATGATTTTGCCCCTGATTAGACTGAACCTCACAAATCATTTCATTGAGGCCTCTTGCATTACCTTTAAGTTGTAACTAACCTCTTTTCTTGTTTCTAAGCTCTAAAACTCTACCAAAATCTCTAACTTTATTTATACTTTAACCTTTAGAGTTTTCTCAATTTGCAGTTTAGTCCCTAAATACCCTTTAACTCTCTTCTTACCTTTATGGGCCTCTTATTCAAAAAGACTTAATAGTCTACCTATCTTAGGCTAATTTTTACACTTTGAGACCCAAAATTTGGAATATTACAATAAAAGTCGAACTTACCACGAGTTAATTACAAAAATACTACTGCTTTTTTTTAACGGTGCTTTTCTTTTTAATTGCTGTAAAATGAAGTCATTAAATATTTTTTTTTGTAGTAGTGAAAATGAATTAAGTTCTTATATTTAGAACTAAAGTAAACTTTTTGTAGTGACAAAAATGACAAGAGGTAATATATAAGAAGAAAAAACTTATTTCTCAAGTGAGTTAACTAGTGTTTACTAGTGATGGTGTACGATTTCAATAATCATTAGCTAAGATTTAGAAAAACTATGTACATGTGTATTCTCTCCTTCTTCTAGATATCATTGTGGGTTTACGTTGGCAGCTAAAAAGAGGAAAAAAGAAAAAAAGAAGGGATCTCATTATGGGTTTACATATCAAGGAATAGTAGAAATTTGTGGTTCTAGCTTGCTCCATTTCCATCCCCTATCCTCGAAAACGAGTGGATGGTAACCCGAAGTAAAATATATATTATATTTTTATTCAAATATATAGAAATAGACATATTTATAACTTAACACACATATATATGGTACCGGTGTGTTTCTTTATACATACTACAGATATAAGCTAGGGGTGGTGAGTACTAAATTTTAAAGCTCTTAGATTGGACCCATGTAATAAGCATTACGAATTATTATGGGTCAATCAATCCGTTCATTTATTCACCTCTAAAAGAAATGGTTCAATCATGCATTACTTATAAATAATAACTCAATTTTAAGCAACCTATCAGTAATTGGTCATTTTCCCCCTAAACTAACCTATAATTTTTCTTCTTTACCCCTCTTTGGATCCGTCCCTTCTCTATATATACATGCATCATAGAGGGAAGCTAGTGCAAAACGAACCAGTTACTTGCTCATCACAGCTGGTTTCCTTTTGGTTATCCTTTTCTGCTTGTTTCACAGGTCTCATATCCATCATGATTGAATTTTTCTCAACTTTCTTTCAAAATCTGGTGCATTGGATAAGCCAGTGGGATATTTACACGCTCATATTTCTTGCTTTCTTGGCCGTTTTCGCCATCCCAAGTTATGCAAGGGTCTGCTTTGTCAAATATGGTTCCAACACACTCCCAGGTCCACCAGGCCTACCCTTGTTCGGCAATCTTCTGTGTCTTCATCCCCAGCTTCACTCTTACTTCACCTCTCTGTCTAAAATCTATGGTCCCATCTTTTCCCTCCGACTTGGTGCCAAACATATCATCGTCCTTTCCTCCCCTTCGCTGGCTCGTCAAGTGCTCAAAGACCATGACCTCACTTTCGCTAACCGCAGCGTCACCGTCGCCGGCAGGGTCGCATTCTACGACGGGAGCGACATACTTTGGACCCCTTATGGACCTGAGTGGCGGATGCTGAAGAAAGTGTTTGTGCAATGGATTGTCAGCAACTGCGCCACGGATTCTCTCTGTGCGCTCCGCCGCAAGGAGGTTCAAAAAACCGTGGGTTATTTGTATAGTCGGGTGGGATCTCCGGTGGATATTGGGCAGCAGATGTATCTTACAGTTTTGAACATCATAACGAACATGATATGGGGTGGGACGGCGGCGGAAGAGGATGATGAGATGATGATGAAGGGAGCAGAGTTCAGGAAAGTGGTGGCGCGCATTGTAGCACTGCTTGGGAAGCCCAACATATCGGACATATTTCCGTGGTTGGCTCTGTTTGATTTGCAGGGTGTGGAGCAACAAATGCGTTTAGCGGTTCAGCAGTTCGACCAGATCTTTGAGAAGGTGATTAAGCAGCGGTTGAAGAAGAAAGAAGAAGAGTATAGCAAGGATTTCTTAGGGTTTTTGTTGAAATTGAAGGGTGAACATGATTCCAAGACGCCACTCACCATCACCCAAGTTAAGGCACTTCTCATGGTATCTATCTTTTTCCCTTCAGTTTAGAGCTCATAAGATGAACATGGAATGCTCATCTTAATCTAGGCTATTAAGATTAATTTTTGATGTTCTAGATTCAATTCAATTTTTTTTATGTCTTAGATAATTTTTTTTTTAATAGATACAGATTTTAAAATAAAGATGACACTCTATATTTGACATTTCTTAAAAAAAGTAAAATTTAAAATTTAAATCTAAACCATCAAAATAAAATTTTAAATGGTTCATATTTCATTATAGTGACGGGAGTGCGGTCCTACATTGACCTCGAACGGCTGGTAGTAGCACTATATTTGCTTTCAATATATTTAATATATATATAGGGAAAATGACAAAAATACTTTTAAAAATGCTAATTGAAAAATTAGTTAGTCTGAAGTTCAAAATGCCAAATTAGATCCCTATATTATTTTGGAATTTTGAATAAATATTTAAAATGCTTTATTTAGTTTAAACTTGTTGGTTATTATAAAATCAACATATTGTGTGTGCGTGTGTGAATATATCTTTAATTTGGAATAGTATTGTGTTTGTGTTTTATTAATGTTTTTTTAACCAACGTTTTAGCAATATGATTACCGTGTTGCATCAAAAAATGATATGACATTTTACAGAACATATGTATGTTTTTCAAACATGATGTTTGTGTTTTAGTAATCTGTTTCCGTTTAAGTGATAAAATATGTACATTTTAATTTGAAAAATTCAGTAAACAAATAAAATACTTCCTCCTGTCCTAAATTTAAGATTTTGCAAAGGTATTAGTTTTGATTCTAAAGATAAGACTTCAATTTATTTTGTCATTTAAATTTGTAGTTTTCTTTTGCCTAGACTCTCCATACATATATTATTAAGGTTTTCTTTTAAAAAAAAAATCAAAGGATTGGTTTTCTGTGGAAATGATTAGAAGGCTTACTTTAAGGAAACCAATATATTTTTCACAAATAACTAATTTAACTAATTTTTTAATATCTGCAAATTAGTTATTTAAGTTTCATATTTACAATCAGATTGAGTAATTTTATTGATCAGTATTAATTAATGTAATTTGTGGGTAGGATATGTTGGCGGGTGGAACTGATACAACCGTGAACACAATGGAGTTTGCAATGGCTCAGATTTTAAACAATCCGAAGGTAATGAAGGGAATCCAAGAAGAACTAGAAACTGTAGTGGGAAGAGAAAACATGGTGCAAGAGTCCCATATCGGCAAACTACCATACTTGTTTGCTGTTATGAAGGAAACTCTCAGGTTGTACCCTGTTGGTGCCCTATTAGTTCCTCATTGTCCAAGTCAAGCCACAAACGTGGAAGGCTACAAAATCCCAAGAAGCTCTCGTGTGTTTGTGAATGTGTGGGCCATACATAGAGACGCTTCGGTTTGGGACAATCCTCTTTGCTTTGATCCTACCAGGTTCTTGGATGCTAAATGCGATTATAGAGGGAATGACTTCAATTATTTACCATTTGGGTCTGGACGAAGAATTTGTGCAGGAATAGCTCTGGCTGAGAGGAACTTTATGTATTTGATGGCAACGTTAATCCATTTGTTTGATTGGAGGGTACCCGAAGACCAAAAGTTAGATGTGTCTGAGAAGTTTGGTATTCTCCTCAAGAAGAAAACACCTTTGGTTGTCATCCCCACACCACGCTTATCTAACTCAGCCCTTTATTTGTAGAATACATAAATGTAGGATTAGGTCTAGTGAAAAAAATAAGTATTTCACAACATAATGAACCAGTCAAATCTCGGACTAGCCGGTCCCCCCAACACAAAATCTTATTGGAGAATTGCTCGTATTAGTGTCAGACCATGTCTTAAACAAAATTTTGTCCAATAAAATAAAACTTGTAAGCAATAAAAGAACATATTCCTCTTGTTCTTACTATAGGACCTAATTGTTAAGTTGATTTTAATCCTAAATATAAGACTTATTTTTCATATTTATCAGTTTTTCTTAAATTAAATTACCCCTATAGATATTCCTTCAACCATAATCAAGTAGAAGAGGGAGAGAGGATATTAAGGGAGTCATATTTCTTATAATTAACTAGCTTACATAACTTTCTTGATCTAATCAAATTAGTTAAATAGGCCTTATATTAAGGACAGGAGAAGTATATATGTATCTATGCATGCGTGATTATACAGTGATTTAGGGATTCAACAAAATCGAAACGAGCATAGTTGTCTCTCACAAGTCAATAAAACACAATTAGTATTGCTTAATTATGCATGTGATTCTCCATGAAATGAAATGTGTAGTACTATGTGGTATGAAATATGTGTTCTCCATTATTTTAATGTAGTTCGACTTATTTTGTGGTGCTTAAAAATATATATATATATATATATATATATTTTGTGGTTTTTGCTTTTGGACAAAATCTCCGGCGTGTTGTTTGGATGAGACCTCGTGATAGCAACAATCAGGCAAGGGGGTGGTGGTTAATTGATGTTCGATTGTGTGGCGGGCCTCATGCTTCGATATTTTAGTTGGGGAAAAAAAATTTTGGTTCCAAACAAAAGAAATTACCGTAGTAAGATTTCATGAAATCATTAAATAAATTTGAACTCTCCGTGATTAAATTTAAATGTACAATCACCAATTTAACACTTATTCATTGAGAAGAAGAAACCGCTGACATTAGTTGTTAATGCATTTCACATATTTATTAATATAACTAAATGTACTCCACTGATTCAAAATATAAGATGAATTTTGTTGAAGAGACTTTTTTTTTTTTACAAGATAACATTCAATTTTATCTAATTAATTGACGAATTTTTTTTCCAATTTTATCCCTAACATATATTTTCTTTCTTCTCTGATTCATTTATTACATTTTTTACTTATTCTTTTCATTAATAAAGACATATTTGGGAAAAGAAATACATGCTTTACATATTTGTTAGTTTAAACTAATTTTTAGATAAATATAAATGGATAAATTTTATCTTGTATTTTGAACTAGTGGGAGTAATTCTTAATAACAAATGTGTGGTGCAGTTGATATTATAATTTTTATATTTCTTTATCTTTTGGTTGTTGCTTTCTGTTCTTAGACTTCACAGTTGCTTAATTGGACAGGCTGGTTTTTAAAGCCTTTTTTTAGGCCTTTTTGTATGTTTTCATTAAGCTAGTAATAAAATTGTTTCTCGTAAAAAGAAAAAATCAGTCAAGTGGGGTTGAACTGCGTTTTAGGCTCTCATTTGGTAGAAACCTCTCGTGACTTGTCTGACAGACAGAACAGTTCTCAAGATCTGCGCAAATGAAATGTTTCTCTCAGGTTTATTATTTTTAAATTTAATTTTCAAAAATAAAATTATTACCAACTTCAATTATTTGCCAATGGGATTTTTATCGTTTAATGGAGAATGTTATATTGACAAAGAAGCCAAATATGAAGATAATGTTATGATAAATCAAATTAAAAACTACATTATGCTAGGAGTTAAATTGAGAAGACATTTTTACAAAAAATTCGTTTTAACGCACAAACGCATACATTAGCCGAAATGAAATTATACAAACGCTTTAATATACTACATGAATGTTGTTGTTGTTATTACTATTATTTGGAAAAAAAAAATCAGGGGAAGAATTTTACCTACTTTCTTCAATCCTAAATGTAAAAACTAATTAAGAAGTTTGCTTTGATCTTAAATATAAGATCTCTACTCACTTTGTTTTTCAGATTAATTATTTTTTTCCCAACTATCCATTGAACATACTCCTCCGGTCCTTAATATAAGACCCATTTAACTAATTTGATTAAATTAAGAAAGTTAGGTAAGTTAGTTAATTATAAGAAAAGTGACACATTTTTCTTAAAACACCATAATCATCTTTCTTAATACCCCCTATTTCTCTTCTACTTGATTATGGTTGAAGGAGTATCTATAGGGGTAATTTAGAGAAAATTAATAAATATGAGAAATGAGTCTTATACTTAGAACCAAAACTAACTCAAGAATTGGGTCCTATATTAAGAACCGGAGGAGTATTAAAGAAGAGTTTACATATAAGGATAGTTTCCGTTGCAATTTGCAAATGATTAGAGAGAGAGAGAGAGACTATTTAGAAGTACACTTGTTTTTTTTTGGACAAATAGCTGAATCAATTTCCTTAATAACTCTTACGTATAAGATCAGAAGAAGTACTAAAATTGAGAGAGGAGAGCTGCAACTGCATAGTGTCTCGGTAAAAAATAGGTAACTAGTTCCCTGGGAGGCTCAACACAACCTCTTATTCTCGCAAATGTGATGCTTAGCTAACCACTCTCGCACATTATATATACATTGCCTTCTCTAAATATGAGACCAGTTTGAATTTGCCACCTAGTGGAGATAATAGACCGAACATGGCAAC